CTATCTCACTGCTTGGATTCCAACGAGTCGTCGCATGCTTTTTCTAGCCGGCGTCTCATGTTATTAAGTAAATCATTAAGCATTCTAAGGCCTTATGGTATCTTTGCATGTTTGACAACTTCCTGCCATGCTCACGGGATATAACTATTTGCACCAGTCCTGCATCGGCCTCAATGGTTTGTCTGGCTAGGATGAGCGACCCGTCGTCTGTTTCTTAGCCGCTGTTATGAAATTAAGTAATCGTATACTGTATCTAACAGGCAATTACCTTGTAATTTGTATATTCCGATTTTTATCAGGTGTTTTACTGTCGCTGGCACCCACACTACTAATTTGGACCATCCTCCAGAGTCCTTATCTACTCGCTTGGAATGCACACAGCAAGCCAAGGAGGCGGTCCGCTCTTCGCTCTCAGCAGGAGCTATAATTTGACGGGACGTTAGGTTGGGTTAGGCTAGTTGGGCATAACTATTAAAGGGCCCCTTATTTCGGATATTTTATATTCATAGTTTGGGTCTCTTCGGGAAGGCATTCTTCCATTCGCGGTTGGATTACTTCCTGCCATCTTTACCTACCTATTTTCCATCCTGCTCTCCTATCTTAGGGTCTACGCTATTGGATGTGGACACTAAGTACGTTTGCGTTTCTGCAGGCTGCTTGGCGAATAACACAAAAATTACTTTACCTTGCCATTGATTCTCAGAGGCTTCACACACTTATTTTTAGCAATTTTTTTTTTTTAGAAGGTGTAACTACCTCGGATCCTGCTCTACTTACTCTCCTTAATCAAGGCTGAGGCCTACACTCCCTTCGACAGACTATCCCTCAGCCCGCACTATGAGCCCTGTTCAGGAAAAAAGAGGGGTATGTGAGTCGTTAACCGGCAAGGAGTTAAAATTCTTCCGACTGAAGCATTAGCGAAGCAGCTCTTGGTGGGACGGCGCTCTCCTTGAGCGACAGGAACGCCCTAGCAAGGCTATCCTGTGGGACGAAAAATACTACGACCACTTCTTACATTTGCCTTAGTCCCCTGCAGGCTGTCACTGCTCAGTCGTGTAGCGCTGGTTCTTGCACACAGCCAAAGGCTCATAATCTCAGGTCAAGCTACACGAGAAGGACAAGAGCGAGTCATCTGATAACCTGCACGTACAACTGCAGAAGTATCAGTTCGGCCGCTCAGCTTTCGGCACTCATTGATGAAGCTCAACGGATTAAGTATCATGTAATCGGACTCAGCGAGACGAAGAGGAAGGAATAGCTTACATGTAAGTGGATGGATCACAACTTATCTCCCACCACCAATGTTCCCTAACCACCTCTGAATTGCTTACTGGAAGAAGTTCCCCAGTGTACAACTCGTGCATTGAATTTTGTGGCTTCCTCTCTGAAGTGGCCCCTATGGTATCTTATCAGCTGTTGTTATGCCCTGCCACCCACCAATAATGTTCCCATCCTGCCCCTATCTTACTGCTTGGATCCAACGTCCGTCGCTTGCTCTGGCCGGTGTTATGAATTAGGTAACCCACTCTTTCTAAGGCTCCTTATGGTATCTTATCAGCTGTTATCACTTCCTGCCACCCACCAATAATGTTCCCATCCTGCCCCCCGTATAACCCATAGCTGATTCCTGTGATCACTAGACTCACTCTTGGCGAAGAATGCCAAATTCAACTGGACCAAAGCTTGCGACGACAGCTTCAATCGAGCTAAGGCGATACTCTCATCAGATCTTCTTCTCGCCCATTACGACCCAAGTCAGGAAATCATCGTGGCAGCCGATGCTTCAAATTATGGCTTGGGCGCAGTCATTTCACACCGTTACAAGAACGGATCAGAAAAAGCAGTTGCTCCATGCTTCTCGCTCACTACTTCCAGCCGAGAAAAACTACAGCCAAGTCGAAAAGGAAGGACTTGCGCTCGTATTCGCTGTACAGAAATTCCACAGGATGCTTCATGGACGACATTTCACTCTTCTGACGGACCATAAGCCGCTACTCACTATATTCGCTCGAAGAAAGGCATTCCAGTATACACTGCCAAGCGGCTGCAAAGGGCAACAACACTCCTGGCGTACGACTTCAGTATCCGATATCTCAACCGGAAACTTTGGACAAGCAGATGCCCTCTCACCACTCATCGCAAATCAATTCACGCCAGAAGAAGATACCATAATCGCCGCTATATCTGAGGATAACGACATCGACGGGAAGGACCTTAACCTCCAGCAACTGAACACTCAACGCTCGACGGATGTCTACTGCTTGCCGATCGAGTGGTCGTTCCAGCTACGCTACAGTCGCGAGTACTGCGACATCTGCACAATGGACACCCTGGCATAGTACGGATGAAAGCTTTAGCAAGGAGCTACGTCTACTGGCCAGGAATAGACAAAGACATCGAAGCTGCCGTACGCCGCTGCACGAAATGCTCTTCAGTCGCCAAACTTCCAGTCAAGACGACGCTTGCCGCATGGCCTCAACCAGACGCGCCATGGACTCGTATCCACGTCGACTATGCTGGACCATTCGCAGGAACGTACTTCCTGGTAATCGTAGACGCATTTTCAAAGTGGCCGGAAATCTTCAGCACTAATCGCACGACGACAGAAGCTACGATTTCGCTCCTGCAACAGACATTCGCGAGATATGGTATGCCAGAAACGCTCGTCTCCGACAACGGAACACAATTCACCTCGGACACTTTCAAGAGGTTCTGCAGTGATCACGGAATACAACATCTTTTCTCGCCTCCATACCACCCACAATCCAACGGACAGGCAGAGAGATTCGTCGATACCTTCAAGAGGACGCTGTCGAAGCTGAAAGGAGAAGGAACGCTATCCGAAATCCTGCAGACTTTCCTTCTAGACGTATCGATCAACCCCGAATCCGACACTGGATGGAATGAAGACGCCGGCTGAACTCTTCATTGGAAGAAACTTGCGAACTGTTCTCTCGCTGCTCAAGCCGACTCTACGACGAAGGCCAACGCGTAACACACTAATGGAGCTACAGTTCAACAAGCAACATGGCGCCCGGAGACGTTCTTTCAGCCAAGGCGATCCCGTGTACGCACGAACATACAGCGGAAATCAGTCGGAATGGCACAGTGGAAAAGTGCTTCAACGAATAGGACGAGTACTCTATAAGGTCCTACTTGGATGGTGCGGATGAGTTGGAGAGGGAGGGGGAGTGTGCTTCAACAGGAACACACCACAACGGTGGAAGCAGAAACATTAGTGAAAGCGACGAATAGAAGAAAGGAAGGAAGGAGAAGAAAGGATCTACCGCTCACAGTGCTGCCAATAAATTCATGTCGCGGTACGAAGGTAATATTGAGAATGAAGATGTCTTGTCGTGGTGCACGAGCTTGAAGCGGGATCGGAATACCCGTCAAGGTAGAGTTACGCCGGATACATCATCGATGAGCAGGGCCGACACCCCTGATCCGAAGAAAATAGACGCCATCACGAAAATGCAAGTTCCAAGAGACATCACACAACCCGATCGTTCCTCGGACTTCTGAGCTTACTATGCAGTTTCTGGCGACGATGACGACAAGCAGTTCCAGCAACCTCTCATGGCACTCACGGACGCCGTCAAGGGACTCGCTCAACAACAGTCGCAGCAGCCATCGACACCAACGGCAGAAGTAACGAGGACCTTCGACGTGCTGTCAGGACGAATCGCGCAGTTCTCCTACGACCCGGAAGCGGACCTCACGTTCGAAGCATGGTTCCACAGGCACGAGGATATCTTCAAAGTAGATGCCCAGACGCTCGATGATTCAACTCTCGTTCGACTTCTTCTGCACAAACTGGACGCTACCGCCTACGAGAAGTACTCAAGCTACATCCTGCCGAAGACGCCACGAGACGTCACGTTCGATGAAGCCGTCTCGACACTGACCAATCTGTTTGGACCACAACAGTCACTATTCAGCCGTCGCTACGCCTGCATGAAGCTAGCTAAGGATCCAAGCGAAGACTTCATCACCTATGCTGGACGAGTCAACCGCGAGTGTGCCAAGTTCAAGCTATCCGAATGCGACGACAACCAGTTCAAGTGCCTCATTCTTCGTAAGCGGATTACAATCGAGCGACGACGCCTTCATACGACTCAAGCTGCTGGACAAAATCGAAGCCGACTCGAAGTGCACAGTTCAGTCTCTCACAGAGGAATGCAAGCGGCTCACAAATCTCAAGCAGGACACAAAAATGGTCGAGGATGGATCATCAAAAGTGCATGCGATCAGACATGGACCATCAGGACGAACAGAGCACCACCTTCAATCGGCTAAACGTCCCTCAGGCGGTCCGCGACGAAATAGATAACCGCTCCTCATTCTCTTCGAAGTCGCCTCCATCGCCATGCTGGCTATGCGGAGCAATGCACTTCGTCAGAACCTGTACATATCGACGACACAAATGCTCCGACTGTCGCAAGATCGGTCACAAGGAAGGATTCTGCGATGCCAGAAAACGAGCTAGCCGCCCACAGCGATCCAGCTGGTATTCGTCGAAGTCAACAGTGCGATCTGATGCAGTATTCACCGTGTCAAGCAGAGATGGCAACTATAGACGCAGTCAGTTCAATTTTCAGTCATTTTCAGTAAAAAGTCAACTTTCAAGTGGACAGTGCCGCGGACATAACGATCATCAATGAGTCGACATGGAAGCTCATGGGCAAACCGCCACTACAGCCACCGTCGCTTATCGCTCACAGTGCCTCCGGAGATCGCATCCAGTTCCTTGGTCAACGCAGCTGGACGTATAGCTTCAACTCAACGACAGCTCAAGGATTGGCATTTTTTTATCCAAGCGCACGTGGAATCCACAGAAAGTGGATTCCACGTGCGCTTGGAAAAATGCCACTTTGCAACCACTTGTATCAAAAAATTTGTTGAAAACTTGTCCAGAAGTACTTCGAGCTCTAAACACGAATATGCCGCTGAAAATGCTAGTTACTAATACATGCGCTAAGTGTGAGAGCGTTGTCACGATGATGTCCATGGCAATGACAGGTGACGGCTATTTGTGGCAATGGCGACCGTGGTGCGGACGCCGGCACTTTCGTTTCAAATGAGGGTGATGGTTATGTTCGAGAAGTCAAGGTGCTCTCAGCAGTTTACTTCGCCATCGAAAAGGCAATGGCCGACGACTGAATATCAGAAATGCAGCCGCATTCGCAAAGGTTTCTTAGATATAGGAATGATCTACTGACCCACCATGACCATTACTTTTGATCGTTACCTACCGTATTAGGTAGTACTTTTCGCGCCTAATTAATGATCTCAAGTGAGTATATAAACCCGTCGTTTTCAGTTAGTTATGTGTGTTATTTCTAATAAATATTCTCTGCCTATTCTACTGCCATCTACCTTCCACGACAGAACAGGGGCGATCAGGATTCTAATTCCAACATTTATACTTGCAGATTTTGAATTGTATTGGCCTCGTGGTGGTCGAGTGGCACGTGTTATCGAAGGTGGAGAAATAGCAGGTGAGAACATCGTGCAATTTTCATGTTCTGCTCCTACATTCTGCTCCCATACCCTGCCTAAAGAATCCAAATCGGAGGGATGGTAATTAACCTGAAGAAAAAATTTCATCCTTGTCCCATTCAGTCAGTGGCGCGGTAGTTTCAGTGACTCTGATGAAGACAAGGGTTCGTTTGCAAGTTAAAGCAACATTTTCTATATGCAGACGTGTTCCGCTGGTGCTCCCTAGTCCCGTCCATAAGAGAAGCGCTATACTAGTCTGTAAACGGGTTATACACACGAGAAATATTCATTGGTGATTAAAGAAGAGTTTTAAAAGCAACGGAAATTAAGGAATCAACGGCTTTATGCATATGATCGAGGACGTCCTCATCTACGAACCCGATCTTCGCGCTCATGGAGGCTATGTGGAAGTGCTAAGCTGGCAATTGATGCTTGTGCTTGTTTTCATGTTATGGAGACCGGGTGGTTTATCGTAAGCTTGGATGTGGTCTTTCGATGCTTCCCATGTGACTCTGTGCTGAGATTTAGCACTCTCAAGGAGAGTCATTGCTTTCTATCTGGATCATCTGGCAACTCTCTGTTGATCTTTAACCATATCGCATTCAACTTTTATTCAACAATCTCATTCAGATCGTCGGGTATTTTCTTTTTTTTGAACGATAAATAAAGTGTTACGTATATTCATGTGATCTTTCTCAACGATAGGTTCATTGGTTAGGTCATTCATGATTCCCTTATCCCCTCATCCAATAAGATATGAAGAAGTCAGTGCTATCGTCATCACGGGTAATATTGGATGTCGAACAGGGAGGAGGGGATTGTGCGCCTAAAAGGGGAAAAAATCTACTAATTTCATGGGGGCCCAAGCAAACCGTTGCGCTGTTCAAAAGTAGCATACTTTGTTAGGAGAAATTCGCCGCAATCAGTAAGGGGGAGAGGATATGCTGTTGATAGAGAGCTCCAAGTTCCGTGGGTAATGCATAGTTGCGGTCATTGTTGAATGGTGCTGTCTTCTCCAAAAGACCACGGTTGAAAGGCAGGAGTGAATAAGAGGGATTCGATGTATGTAAGTGATGATAGATATAAACCTGTTTACAACTTTACTATATGTCTTCCCGTTTAAAATTGTCCTGTGTTTATTGACACATTTTTGCACTTTCGAACTCACCCACAATATGAGCGCATGGCCAGGCTGGCTCGACGAAGCCGGGTCGGCACACATGAAGGAGAAGGGCCCGGCGTCAGCTGGGCCACCCGACTGGTAGTCAACTATACAAACATGAAAGAAAGCGCTCATAGAAGCCAAGAAGGAGGCGCACTGGCGTCAGCTGGGGGGCCGAATGATAAGATTCTAGTATCCAAGATGCAATCATCCGTCGATAAGATAATGCTATCCTGAAACTTCCGTCAGGTATGGTTTATTTGGCCGTGCGTTTCCCTAACAACGGTAGAGCATAGGGTAAGTTTTAATTTGCATAGGGCATGTGAACAAATGCCTTAGTCAATACAACATTACCGCCCTTCACTGCTCCATTCTTCGGAATTTCGGCCTGATTTTAATCGAACCTTTCCTCTGGTTAGACTAGCACCGTTGGCCCAACCTGGCGCCATGAGGCAGGCGCCAATACACCTCAAAACAAAAAATTTGTTGAAAACTTGTCCAAAAAGTACTCGAGCATCAAACACGAATATGCCGCTGAAAATGCTAGTTACTAAATACATGAGCTATGTGTGAGAA